AGTTTTCTTTTACCTACCCACAATCTTATCCACTTGGGTGTATTTTTCAATATTCCCTCATTTGGGGTGATTTTTCTCCACTTTTGCATTTGCTAGTGCTTTCAGTTCTCCATACATTTACTGCTTCCTTGGTTTCTGCACAAAAGGTTCTGTTGCTTTTGAGGACTTGGGTTTTTATGGAAGCCCTTATTCATTTAGGTCAGGTACATATGCATACTCTTCAGAGGTCTTTGCATGGCCCATGGAATCAAGCTTGGGATCCCTTGGACTCCCCAATTACCTTTTCTCTTTCCCTTACAGACTATCTCCATTGGTGGTTGAACAGGGACAGTGTAACGAAGGGAGTACTATGTCTTTCACCTCATTCAGATTTGCAATGAATAACAAATGCTTCTCTCCGAGGTTAGTGAGTGTTGGTCCATCAGCAAGAGGCTTCTGGGCAATGGTCTTGTATTGTAATGTCTTAACATTTCAAGATCTTGGAGGTTATGGTAGTACGATATGCTTTGTTTCATTTTCTTTAGCCGGTACAGTATCAACACATCATGCTCCATTTTGACATTTCCACCATTTATCCCTGAAATCAGTTCAAAAATAATCAGTACTTGGAGAAAACTTGACATTAATCTTAAAATTTGTATTGACTTCAAATCCATTCAAAACTCAGCCCTAATGTGGATGAACATTGGACCTCATTTATTGGGCCCGTAGGCTGTGGGTAAATCTCCTTGTGTGTCATGTTCCGGGTGCTTCTTATCTCGTGGTAAATAGTTTTTCAAGACTCGATCAGGTTTATCTTTTGGAGTGGCTTCTTGACTATACAGTTAGTGGGGTACTCCTTATCTGGACGCTTTTGCTTCTTCTTCCTTTTTCATTGTTCCTTTTTGCCATTTTATCTTCCATCCATTTCCTGCCTTTATTCCCGGTCTCCTCCAAATAGATTTCTGTGTCTAGTATGTCCTCCTTGTTGTTCCATTAACCATATGGCTTCCTTTAGTGGTTCCTGTTTTATTCCCTGGTGCTGTTCATCTGTATGTGACCTTTCTTCTTCTATTCCTCCCTGTCTTTTTTTTACCAAATTCTATTCCAGATCTAGCACTTTCCATTTTTCCTGTTGTCTCACCTATGCCGTCCATTGGAAGAAACTCTTCAGTCAGGCATATGGTCTACTCCTCGTACATTCATCTCCATCTATTTTCATTGGGCAGCTGTTTCTTCATCGTTGAGGTACTTCCTTCTGCCTGTTGCCATCCTTCAAACTTTGATATGGCTGTGACTGGGTAAGTTATCTTTTCTATATATATTTTTTTCCCCCTCCAGTGTTACATCCCATTTAAGATTCAGATCTTGCTCAGTGCCAAGCATTGCCTGTCCAGGTATGCTTTGTGTATCTCAAATCTGCACTGTAAAGCCAAGATGAAATCATAATAAAAACAGTATACTCATGGACAATAACACACATTTTTGCAATGGGGTGTTCCACACGATCACTAGTTTGTTTTTCCTTACAGTATATTTACTTCATTAATATACCTGTTCTGGACTGTACTAACCCTTGGACTTGCATGTGTAAAGCAGAAGGGGATAGCTTCCCATCCCTGCCATCCTCTTTTGATTGAATAAATCAACAGTGATCTGCTTTTCAATATAGTGTTTAATGGTCACCCATTGCACTGTCAATGGTGTTTCTTTGGCCTCTCCATCACATTTACCCCCCCCCCCTCCCTCTTCTAGTGGAGTATGAGAGTCCTTGCCACTTTGCAGTTTTGAACTGCTAGGGTGGTGGACCATAGAGGTATTCTCATAAATGTGATCACTTCCATCCAGTAGGGAGTAGGGTGATGGTGTGAGATCCTCTATTCATGTGACCCATCTCTGTGCAGTGACTTTTGGACGTTAATGTTGCATCCAGAGGGTGTGGTTGTATATATTTTTTTAGAGGTGATCTACGTTCATGAAGTGGGAACCAGAAGTTAGCATTATATCTCCAACTTCTATGCGATCCTATCCGGGGGAGTATGTTGCATATGTTTCCAAGTACATGCACTCCACCTCCATGTGGTTGGTTCCGGAGGCTCATGCTATGCCCAGCTTCTGTGTGGTTGTATCTGTGCAGAGCATATATTTTACAAAAGTGATCCACTTCCTTGTGGTGGGATCCAGAAGATGATGTTGCTTTGGAGTAGATCCATCACATTGCAATTCACCTCTTTCATTTGGACCTCTCATTCTACCTTCACCAAGATGTCACTTCCCAGTGAGAGATTTTTGGATTAGAGCTGGACCAATCAACATAAATCTTCACATGTGTTGGTTGTGATTCCTCATCCTCACTCCAGTTTTGTTGTTTTGTGGGTCCTGGAGGTTGATGTTGCACACACGTGCTCCAACTTTTGTTCATTCCTATCTAGAGGATGATGTTGTTTAAGGTGAAAGTTTTCCCATTAGCACTCCACCTCCGAGTTTTCCCCTACCTGAGGCTGCTTATGCCCTGAGGGAATCCAGTCGGATTGGATTTGTTTTGATGTGAGCTGTCACATTGGCACACCCTTTCATACCATCATTTAAATGTTGGGTTCCTGGATGTGTGGGTGGTTGTGGATTTGCACATGTGCCTTAGTTAGTAGATCAGTTTGATGTGTATATAATTCCATTGTACTCAACTTGGAGGTGAAGATGGCATGGACCCTCCTTCTAACATGGGTCAGAAGTAATATTCCTGATGCTGCATAGTTTTAGACTGGAGTTAACTGGCCACATACATTCTGTCATGGCCTAGCCACTCTACATCTTGGAGCATATTCATTTAAGTTTTCACCACATTCTTTTCTGTAGATGGTTATTTTACAGTCTTTCTTCACCGGGGAGAATATTCTGGTATGTTGTGGTTTATATTTGAACCCTCCTGGCATTTCTTTGCTTTTTGGTTGTGCTCTTCCCACTTTCTGCCTGTGTATGTAACACCTGTTTCTACACTGGGCACAAAGTATACCTGGTACAGAAGTGGTGCAGTCTCCTATGTTTGTTCCTCTCCCAACAAGGATCACACTTCATCTGTGTTCTTCGGACGCTTTAGAAGGACACTTATTTCTATTGCTTGCACCAGTTCTTCCGCCTATTCAATGTGGAAGTTTATATATACATGTGGGAGGAGGTAATGTACCATATCGGAAGTTATTATTTTCCTATACTGAAAATATTTTTCCGTTAGGTACTTACCTCATCTCACACTTCCTACCCTTTCTCTCCACTGAAAACAGGTGCTTTTCCTTTCTGTTATTATATCTAGAAGTGATAGCTTAGTAGAATCAAAGAGCAAGTCCCATGTATCCTATTAGAGGAGGGTTATTCCATGATGATTTACATACAAGATGCAGTTGAACCACATTGATCATGGTGTATGTGGGAGTTAAGGGCTTGTGGCATGCAAAACATTTTTTGCATGTAGAGGACAGCACTGAATCAGAATATCTATCGATGTGAGATGAGATAAGTACCTATTGGAAATATATTTTGACTATAAGAATTTTTTTTTAACATACTCTTGGAATTTTAAGGAGTGCTGCTATTTACACTCCTTGGACAAAGTTAAGAAGTGTGAAGCATCTTGATCTTACTCTTTTAAAATGATGCCTTGCTTTTATATACATTGACAATGTTCTTGTGTTGATATTTTTAGGTTATTTTGATACTGCTGAACTTGTTTATTCACCAAAATTTGCTATAAAAAGTTGTCTGATTATTACTAAAACTGTGTTCTTAGCTAAATGTAGAACTTTTTAAAGACAATACTTCATCCCAATCTTTGTAATAAAGTATGATTTCAGTTTCAAATTTATAATCTTCAATTTCATAATGTAGTTATTTAAAATAAGTCATGATATTTTTTGCATCATTAGAATGTTTCTTGGATAAAATTAACAAATGAGTTGACCCATTGTATTTTGAACACCAAATGTATTCAGTTCTATAACAAATTTAGCAATACTTGTTACTGCTTAATAGGATTAAAAACATATAATAGATATTGTTGAGTCTGTTGTAATAAAACAAATCTCAACATACAGCAAGTCACTTGACAGCCACAGCCCCAAAAGTTGTGGCAATATAATGTGTATCAGAACTAAATTTTGATATGCTTGTGCCTTGTAGGTAGTATAATGCAGCCCTTTCTAACAAAATATATTCAAACTCTTGAACAAGAAAGACTTATTCAGATCAGATTTAGAACTTGCAACATTGGACTATTCCTTGTATTTTAATGGCATTGGAAAACAAAGGAAAATGGGGCATGTTGTGGGTCACCAAGACCATCAAGAAAAAGACCTACAATAAGTTCTACTCCAGCAGTGGTAAGCAAAGTGTGGTGTCTTGTAATACGTGAGAATCCAATAGTACAACTGTATGTGAAAAACTGTTGAAGTGCCCCAGACAACATTATGCATCATATTTAACAAGGATCTCCATATAGAAGTTAGGCCAACAAAGTGTGGATTCACATTCATACTTTCTGTTCAACCATTGCCTTACCCCAAGCTATTGAAGAATGAAACAGGCACACATGCTATTCTGTAGAAAGTTATACTGGTCAACTTGCCAGACACATTGTACACTAGATGAATTATGGAAAGCAGTCAGTAGTTTATGCCTTGGACATAACCCTTATAACAGAGTCTTTTGAAATGGATGCAAAGTCATCAGATAGAGCATGACTGGCACAGCAACATGGACTGTAATGATGGTGAGGCTTCAAAATCATTTCATTATAATGCACTTAACCTCTGTATACAATGAACTTTTCAAAATTATTTTAAGTACTATTAATTTCTCAAACTTTTTTCATTTAGTGTATTGTACAACCATTAAAATTACATTTTGCTGGTTATTGTATGTTATATAGAATTATGCAGCACAAACAACCTTATTATTTTAGAGAAATTAATGTTTGGTTATATGATTATTAGGACAAAAAAGTGGTACAATAATGTATTTTTATGTAGTGATCAGACTGGCCGTGTTCGTTGTCCTGTTGATCCATACTTCATTGTACCAGACAAGTGTCAATGTGTAGATTTCCAAGTTTTAAAACTTCAAGAATCTCCAGAAGATGTTCCGCATGGAGAAATACCACGGCATGTTACATTGTTTTGTGACAGGTATGGACTTCATTTTTATTATTATTTAAGAGAATATTTAGAACCATACTCACATTTAACATAAAAATGGTAACTGAGTAATGCCAGTTCTGGTATCAATCAAGTATTACTTTGTTTGTGTAGCATTTTTTGTTATATTTAAATTTTTTATTTAAACATTAAAAACTTGTAGGCATATTCTGATGTTTTCAGTAATGAAGATTCTGTTTTCTGTTCAGCTAGTAGCTCTGTGTCCTCTTTATCCTTAATTGCATAAATTGGTGGAGATGTTCCTTTACTATAGTTTTTAGCCATGATATATATCAGCCTTTTCATTCCCAATAGATCCCCTTGCAGATAAATTTCAATTTATGCAAATTCTGTAGCCCTATTTACTTTTCATGTATTTTGCAAGTATTCATGCCCAAAGGTAATTTTTATCCTCTGGTCTGCTATTTTACTCATGTTTTCTTTCAGGTAATTCCACTTGTATTCTATACTAACTTGGGCATTTTCAATTAGTTCTACATGTACTACATTTTTTACCTTGGCTTTTAACAGTTGTGCACATTATTCTCCTTTAAGGTTTTCTAAAACGAATCCTTTTTTTTTGTTTATTTATACTTCACTGTAATTTTTGGTTTGCTCACTTTTAGTTTTCCCAATAAAATTTTGTGACCTGAGTCACAAAAAACAGATGGAACATCAGGTCTATCATTTACTTGCTTATATATCCCCACCCCAATATTGCTAAATCCAGCTATACCAGGTCCATTTATGATTAGGATGATGCTCATAAAAAGTGTTCATTATTGTGCAAGACTATTAAATATGCAAAGTCAATTAGTTTATCTTGAATGCTGAAAGCCCCAGTGACACTCAATTCATTCTCTCTCTCAGTTCCAATGTGTGCACTTAAATCACCTAGAATTATGATGTTATTCTAATATGGTGTTTCCTCGTATACCTCCTGCAGTGCATCGTAAGACTTCCTTTTAAGCAGCTGGTCTTTCTTGTAGAGGAGGATATACTTGTATAAAACTCAATTTAATACATCCTATATCAATGTTTACATCAGTTATTCTTTTACTTTTGTAGTCATTAGATATACTTGAAGCTAACTCTGGTGTCATTGTTACAGCATCTCATTGTTTAGTCTTCCACCAATGAACATTATTATAATGAAGCATTTCCTTTCCTCTTCTTTGAGTCCTGTCTCACATAATCCAATAATATCCAGGTTTCTTTCCTTCACGAGTTTATCTCTTTCTCTCTATTTCTAAAGTGGTTGCATTTACTGTAGTGATGCATATGGTTCTGTCTTTAGTATTTACCTTCTAAAAATTTTCATGTCCATTCAAGATTGTCAATGAGTATATAAGCTGATTTTTCGGTGTGGTAAATGCTTCTTGAGCAAAAATTAACTCGTCGTTGGCTTGCTAGACTACCTTGACTTCCTGAGACTACTAATTAGTGCAATCACAATGTTGCTTTTTCTATAACAGATTTCCCACTTTTTAAAATCCAAACAGATATTGTGTGGGGTTCAGCTGTAGCACCTAGTAGAAAGTGATATATATGCATTAACTGTGTTAATTTTTGTTTGCACAGTCCTTTAAATAATTACTTTTGTTACCTCTTTATATCATTAAATACATTATCGAGGATTAGACTTCTGTTTAACCCTATCGCCCTGGGTATCCTTTACTGCACATGACACAAGGCTTTAGTGTCTTACATTCAAACTTTTATCACACTACTCTTTGTTTATGTTATGCCAATTAGAATAGCATAAAATCTTAGCTAATAATCCATACTTTAATAGTATACAAGTTTTAAGTTCTTAAATCTAGAAGGGATTGTTAAAAAAAATCCTGAATTTCCACTAGTGTGACCCATGTGACATATCTTGTTATAGCATGTCATCATTTCTATTTTATCCATCACCCCTCAAAAATGTATGAAATTAAAGGTAAATTACTCTCTATAAAATCATTATTGCTCAGACAAACCATAATTTTTAATGACTTCAATTTTGTTTGGTTACAGAGCTGTTGAACAGAAAATTGGACCCCTCCTGCCACACCCACCTGTCACATCTTCTTTTTCACTATTTGTTGATAATCCTCTCTTATGTTTCATTATATATTACCTATAACCAATAAAAAGCCAAGGTTTTCATCTATCAAATGACATTGTATAATGTTGTATTCTGAACAGAATATCGTCAATTTCACTCACAGTACAAGATTTGTTCTCGTGGAAAAGTTAATGACTAACTTGGGTTAATTTGTAACGGCTCTTTTCACATAGTTAGAAAGATAGGAAACATTTGAGAGCTAAGTGAATTTGTCTACTTTCTGGATGTTATTAGTCTATATTCTTTAGTGCATTACTTTATTAAATATAAATTATTAAGTGCATCACTGTCCATGGTATAAAAAAATTAGGGTTAACTCTCTTCAAAACCCAACAGTAAGTAAAAAAGAAGATTGAATAAGTACTTTATTTCTTGTTTTGTTATTTATTCTTTATTTATTATTGTAAAAGTAACTAAAATCTAACAATATGGATCTTTTTAAAATATTTAAGACTAGATTAGGTAAAATAAATAGTAATAATAATATAATTAAAATGGTTCATGAGGCACGCACACGAGCAGCTCGTGGGTAACGTAATTCAATAGCGAAACATGATCTGCATGTTCCCCAAGTGAGTTACAACTTGTAATGGCACAGATAATAGTTAGACATGGTTCAAAAGGCAATAAAACAATAAAATATAATTATAAAAAGATGTATACTGTTACGAACTTAGATGTACTTAGGATGAATGAATGTAGTTTCATGTTACAATTTGAAGTCATTCTAGCAAGAAAAAAGGTTAATTTAGGTTTATTTTGATATTTTTTTGGCGGTTACAAAGTTGGTCGAATTGACCGATTACGTTTTGAGATAGGGCAGAGAAAATAACAGATAAACTTTAAAGTTTTACTGAAAAAAAAAACGTTTGAAATGCATTTAGGAGGTTTTAGGAATTACACAAAGGAAAGTTGAGATTTTTGAGATGAGGAAAAGTATTTTTAATTATAACATGTAAATTACTTTGCACATGGACTATTCAAAACAAATACTCAATATATTCATGGCAAATCTTTATTTTATTTTATTAAAAATACTTCACTAAGAGTTTTTGTGTATGAAAGACTGCTAAATTTTGTGAAAATATACCTAATATATTGAGAGTTACAAGTATTAAATTTATAAAAACTTTAAATGAGTACAAAAAGGTCATGTCAAATTGACCGAGCCTGTATTGAAAGTGTTAGAGTTTGATATCCATCATTTGATAATTAAAATTTTGATATATGCACAGTTCTTATTGTTATTATTTTTTAAGTTGTCACTCATCTGTAGTTCAGGGCCTGGAAATTTGTATGTGAAAAGCTGCAAGGTTTTGTAACTTCTACCTAGACTACTAGTAGATACAAAATATTCTTAAAGTATGCTGTATATATGACTATTACATATAGCTGATGCTAATAAGATGCAAGCAATATAAGTTAATGTGTTAGTGTATACTTTTCTAATCTGTTGAGTACATATTTAGTGTAATAACTTGTCTTCAGCTTTGAGGCTGCCTTATTTATCATTCTCAATGCTTTGCTTAAATTTAACTTGCCATACACTTTATATTAATGAGTAAGTTTGCTTTGATTCTATATTATTGCGCTTCTAATATGAAATCTATAAACACTTTATTAATAAGCTAGCAAATAAACTCATCTGCAAACAATGGAATTTGTTATATATATTTTTTATAGCCCTACAAGGTGTTCCACTTTACTAGCTTTGGCGACATACACCAGTAAATGCTGAAAATATCTCATTTAAAAAGAATAAATGAATAAATACAAGATCTTATAAACATGCATATTATTATGCATTCTAACAGATAATAATTTCCTTGTTTGTTTTACAAAACAAAGTTAAAACACTTCATTACTTAAAATTCTTCACATTATAGTCATTTGTTATATTTTAGTAATCCTGTGTTACTTCTTTACTATATCTTATTACAATGATAACATTATTAACGAACAACATCAACTACACTTTGAAAAAAAATTAATAAAACGACTAGAAAAATAAGTTAGACACTTAATATGTCCTATTCAATCCTACAGTCTTCTGTAAAGAGTGCAAAGGACTGAAGAGGACTCATGAAACTGTCAAAGTAGTTTCAAAGTCTCAATAGTAATATTTGTTTTCAAAAATCTTTTCATTAATTTAGCTAACATATCTGCTATTATGTATTTTACATTACAATGTTATCTGCACTAGTCTATTTAAATTATTCTATTCTTATAGACAGCAGTATCCCAGTTTTCAAATGTTTTTATATATGAGGGGATAATTGTTAAAAAATGCTACTTTTTATTATCTAGAGTATTTTTTTTTACATTTTTTGTTTTCTTTTTGTTCTTTAGGTACCTTTGTGAGTTAGTTGTCCCAGGAAACTGTGTAACAGTTGTAGGAATTTATTCCATCAAAAACCTCTCAAAAACAGTAGTGAGTACTTCCAGTTTTCTTTTTGGAAAATAAAATGCCTTTTGATTTCCTTTTAAGAACACAAATAATTAGTCCTAAACATTTCTTTAGTTCTTAAAGTCGACTTTTTGTTCATGAAATGAAGTTACAAATAAACCTTTCTAATCTGTTTTTTTGTTATATTTGAAGCCTGTTGGGTTCAACTGTTAAATGTTTTTAATCTGTGTCTTACAACTGTTTATAAGGTATTTTCTTTCAGTTCAAAATTCACTGACAGCTCAAGTATTTAGACCTCGTTGTGCTTTGTTTACTTATTGTTCATTACTGATGGGATCCAGACATTGCATGACATTGAATAACCTTGTTTTTGTCTGTTACAACACTCAGTACAAAGAATTTGTCAAAATGAATTGGATAAAATCATTCATTTAATTTATAAGATACTTAGAAAACCTAAACATTAGTTAATGGAGCTCATTACAATATTGATGCTATTTTTGATTAAATAGTTTTTTGTGTGATTTACAGTGTTGCTGTTAACTGGTAAATTTGTAAGCTCCTCCTATTTTACTGTAAAAAACACAAAGCACACCGAAGCTTAAAATTATGAACAGTTACATGGATTGTAGCACTTTAGGGTTGATGTACTAGCATTTTGGAAAATTGGGCACACTTTTAATGAAAAGTATGTAACAATAAAGTGTATTTTATGAAACACATTTATGGGTAGAACTTGAAATGCTATGGGTGACTTTTTATTTTTGGACTATAAAATCCATTCAAACCAGGTTTAACTTTTGTAATATGAACTACATGTCACATGAAAAACAAATGTTTCAGAAATAAACATGCATTGAAAAGAATGATACATGTACATTGCCTGTTTATAAATAGCTCTGAGCCCAAAAGTAGGATTGTACAAAAGTAGCTTTTTGTACACAATTCAGTCTACATACGTCCCAAATGAATGCGTACCTTCCTCAGCTCTTTCACTCATTCTGCCAAAGAGATTTGCATCCCACTAATATTGTGAAAATTCCCACCTAATCTCATGTGATTTCACATGAAGTTGTGCTAGTGGATGGTGATGTCATAATGCAGCAAAAGCCCTACATCAATAGGAGGGCAATACATGCATACTAATGCATAGATATATTCCCATGAATCATCATTCTTCTCCTCAGCACTGTATTGACCAGATGTGTTTAAATATCTTGCCTGTTTAATTTAGTGAGATTCTTTGATTTTTTGTTTTCTTTAGCTTTTGTTTCAAAAGCTTTAATATTTTACCGTGACTTCTCAAATAACTTAGTCCTCAGTGCAGGATGTTCTTCACACTTAGGCCTTAATTATGCTGTGGCTTTTAGAGACCCATTAACTGTCATGGTCATAGCATCCATTGCTTAATGTGTTATGGATCACCAAATGCTTCATGAACCTCTTATTCCCATGTCATCACCGAATTTCTTTCTCCTTAATGAGGAATGATCTGTTAGACTACGATCTTCACTTACTTTGCTTTAGTAGTACTAAACCATTTGTTAAACAACCTTCACCTGCCCATATCTTACAAGATTTCATTCTCATGTATGTTCCTTTCCTTCTCTTTTGCCCTTATTAATTTTTTGTTTCTCACTTGATGACCCATCTTTGCTTGTTGTTAGGACTTATTCAGTCTCCTCTCTTATTATAATATCTCACATTCTTGGCCACTTTTGTTAAGATCCTTCACTTCCTTTTTCCAATTCTCCGTCATTGATTTCTATTTGATCAGCTGAGGGATCAGGACCCTTATTTTCATTTTCACTTTCTAGTTCCCTATTTTCACATTTTTGTCTTTTTCTCTCTACCCTTCTGTATTAATTCTCCTTCCTCCACCTTTTATTTGTGGGACTTCTTCATGATAACTTCTGTTGATGTTCATTCCTTTCTCTGTTTGGCCTGTTCCACTTTAGCTCTATCATTTCATACTTTGTTCCCCTTTTGTTGAAACTTGTAGGGTAAAGTTGCATTCCTCTTTACTGTACTCCTTCCCTCTCTTTTTGTGTACATATTATTCATCTGCTCTTTTCCTTTGCCCAAATGTCTTCTTTGGTATTTTTTTCTTCCTGATGACCTGGTTAGATAATATACAATTTCTGTCCTCATTCTATTTCCAATTTTTTCCCCTTTTCTTGACCTTTCCTGCTGTCATATTCCTCATTTAGATTTTAATCTCTTTTCACCCTTCCATTCCAGATCCTAAACCATCCTCCTTTTCTCACATTACTTCTACCAGTAGTCTTGTTTGTCCCTTTTCCTGCTCGTGACTATCAATGTATGATTCTTTGTGTACCTTTCTCTCCTACTGCTGTTGGTCTCACAACAGTCATTTTCCATTTCCCCACATTATTTTATTTTCTCCTCCTCTCTTTGCTTTTCTTTCCAGTTCTCTTTCTCCTCCCTCTGATCTCACCTATGGTCTTTTTTTTCACCCAGTCTGAGGTTGGCCATTATCAATATGTCAGACATGTTTCTCGGCCCATCCTCTTTCTGTTTTCTCTGTCCCATCCATTCTTTTTTGTCTTCCCATTTTTTACTTTTCCCTTCACCTCACTGTTGGTCCTTCTAGTATTCATTGTTATTGTGTGGACCTTCACTCTGGGTTCTTTCTCATATCTACTCAGTGTTGGGTACTTTTGGACATTTCCTTATTCTCTTGTCTCATTGACGTTCAGCCTATATTCTTTGTTTGTCACCAGGTTTTACACTTCTTATTCTCTCTCTCTGTGTGAGAGGTTTTTTCCCTTTCATAGACTTTGGCTTCTCCAGAGCATCTTCATTTGGAGCATGCCATTATCTCTCCTACAGTGGATATTCTTGGGGTCCTTTGTCCTCATATGTGAACTTCTCCTCTAGTAATTGTCAGGGTGACTGGACCATGCCCATCCTACTTTCTTACCACCTCTCAAAACACATTTTTTCACTTCTATGCTTCTCTCTCAGATTGAGGTACAGTTTTTGTGGGAACAGCTCTTCCAATGTTTGTTCTTTAAACTTGTGTCCACCCCCAATGAACATGCTCTTTCTCTCTCCATCAGGCACGTTCCTATTCCTGCTTCTATTGGCAGTTCACTTGATTTATTACATGGCTTTTTTTGCTTGAATCACCCTTGTGTCTCCTGTTTTAGGGCCTTTTTTTTAGGGCATTAACTATACACTTCTTTGTCAGATTATCCTTTGTTGGGAGTTTCTTTATTATTGGCGAGCTGCCTCTCTCAGCCAATCCTTATTCTGTCAATGGAGTAGCCTCTGCACTCCCAGATCTTCCATGGGATTTACTCTTGGTTGGACACAACATTCTTGAGCACCTGCCACCCTTCTATACTCTGGACTTCCTTTTTAGTCCTCTGTTCTTCTTCCTTTAGCTCTGGCTGTCGTTTTTCTCCACTAGGCCTAGTCTTACCTGTTTTTCTATACCTATTTCCTTATTCGTCTCATCCTTCTGGATTTTGAATTGGGTCCTCTTCTTGGTGCCTCTCTGACTACTTTGGCCTTGATACTCTCATTAGTTGGCCCCCATTTTTCTCACTATTATCCCCTCTATTAAATGATTTGCACTTTCATTTTCATTTTTTACTGAGGATTATCCTCTCTCTACCCTCATGTATGGAATTTGCAGGGTCTATCTCTCATCAGACCAGACTTTCTGCTACTGTTGTGTTGATCTCATCATATTCTTCTCATCCTTCCATGGTATTTGTCAATCACCATTGATCTTGGTCTTTTGTCATTGGTAATTCTGCTACCTATTTCATCCAGGCAGTAATTCTATGCACTACCTTTCTTACCAGCCTGTTCATCAAAGGATTCTCGGTCTCATCATTTCTTAATTGTCAGGTGGCCACATCCATGGCTTTTCTCTTTTCCAATTCCTTTCATTCTGTTTCTCTTCTTTGCTTTTCCTTGTCTCTATTACCCTGCTACCTTGCCTGACTGAAACCTTGTTGGTGTTTTGCTTGATCTCATGCACGTGTCATTCGAGATATTGTCTTCCTGCCTTTTTTTTAAAGTCTTTTATCTCCCAACTATTTCCCTCCTCATTTCCTTTATTAGCATTGTTTCAGTGTCTATCCTTTTGTTGCTTCTCACACTCTCTTTCAACATACTTCTCCTTTCCTCCCCCTGGATCGATCATTTGTTCCTTAGACTTCGATCACTCAAGTGTACATTTCTCCCTAACTTCTATCTATATTTTTGGGCTGCCTGGACCCAGCTTGACTCCTATGTCTTGTTGGAAAGTTCTGCATGCCTTATCACAAACCTCATTCTTTTAGGATCCCTGTCTTTTTCTTCTGTCACTCTCTGGGGATCCCTAATTTTTATGGTCCTTAATACTTTTTCCTTTTTAGGATGGGCCCATTGAGTTCTTTGTTGAAGTGTTCATTTTGGGATGTTGATGCTTGCATTCCATTCATCACTCTTCTTTCTCTTCCACCTCTTCTTTGTGGGACCTTGAACGAGCTTTTCCAGGCAGGCATGTGGACTGGACTCTCTTCACACATCCATCTTTATACCTTCTGGCTCTTTTATCTAATGCTGGTTTTTGGCTTCCACGGATCACCAGTACTACATTGCTTTATCGTGGTACTATTTCCCTTTCACAACCCCTCTTTTGTTCAGTAGTACCACACTCGATGGCTAGTGTTGCCTCCCAGGGTATACTTACACAAAATCCACTTCGAGCCAGGATAATGGAAAGTGCTCATACCATCCACCTTGGCTTTACACCTGTCCACTATGAGATAGGGTGTTCTGTAAGACCACTTGAGGTTTCTTTGTGTTATATATATTTCTATCTATATTGCATTTCTTGTCAAGTCCAGACCATACTTATTCCACGAACTATCGTAGAAAAAGCCAATGCTAGAGCAGTATTTCTGCCCACTTCTCTGGCTCTTACTTGCTGGCTTTTAAAAATAAGGTTTTGCTGTCACCCATTGCACTGTCATCAGTAATAAACCTTTCCAGATTGAAGAACC